GAACTATTTCTAGTTTTAAGTAAGTAGAAATGAAATTGTTTCTAATAGTAGCAGCACTTGCTTATTTCAAAAGGGTTCTCAAGCAGAATGCTTTCTTTTTTGTCATGTATTTAAGTTGTACATGTGTACCCTACTGTCTGGTCAAAATGTGGGGAATTTTTTTTTTTTTTATACATTAAGAAAAAGTTTTTTCACCAACTAAACACCAGCTTTTGTCTCTAAGCCCACAAGAGGGCACAATACACATTAAAAGACTGGGATACTTGTGTATATTAAATACAGTTCTTCATGAGGCAGCATTGACCTGTCATTCTTCAAGTTCACATTCAGACACATTTTAAAATGTATTTTTTGGTTCTTATATATGCTGGCTGAGTTTTTTAAAATACATTATTTGGAGGTTTTACAGTTTAATCTATGTATAGATCAGAATACAAAGTAAGGAATAGTTCAGGAATAAAGTTGTTAAACTTAAAAATAACACACATACAAAGGTTTAAAATCTTGAAAATGCATAAACCAATTTGTCTTTTAAATAAAGATGAGTATTAGACAATTTAAAACACACAAATAGATCATTTACTAATTGGATGACAAGACACCATTTAATAATGCATACAGTAGAACGCTGGGAAGAAGAAAGCCATTGCTAAAAGAAAGCTGCGAGAAGTCATGGTGGTCAAAGCATCAGGCTGTGGGGGAACTGAGACATGGGAGCTTAGTATAGTTTATAGAATAAAGCTTCAAGGGAAGTACAGGGCAATGCTAAAGGAATATGTTGAGAGGCTGGAAAGGACTGAGACTTAAGCAGCAGTTCACCTACAAGCAGGACAGTAAACCAAACAGTTATGCACAGACAATGTTTTTTTTTCCTTACTTAAATGTTTATTGTGAAAGTAATAATTAAAAATATATATAACACCAGTGTTTGAAGGTGTTCTGTTGTCGTTTTTTTAATATGGAGTGGAAGTCTTTCAGCGAACACGTTATGACAGTTTCAGTTCAGATTCTAGGCCAAGGAGGCAGAGAAAATGAAAACTTTGCTGTTTTAGTTCCAAAATCACAAGCAGAAAAATGCAAAATTGTATTTCATCCGAAAGCATAAAGCTTAATTCTCTGAAGAAAAGAGCTTAAAAAAGTTGAAACCACATTGAAAGAAGCCCTGTTAACCAGGCATCCAGTGTTTATGCCACTTTACATTCAAGGAAGGTGTGCAGCTTTAGCATAAAGTTCACATTGGTGCAAACATTAATCAATCACAGAGCACAGCTTTACACTGGAGTCAAGACCTATTGGTAGCTGGTTGAAGCATACATACACACTAGTGCCATTAGCAAGTATGGGCAGAAAAGTAGTTGAAATCAAAAGCCTCTGAGCTCTGAGGAAGAAACATGACTTGCTTTTAAACTAGAGATCAAGCTTCAATCTTAATTTGAGATGACATTTTTAACTTGAGCTTCAAAAGAAAGGTTCATTATTAATAGTTAGGTAGTTTCAGGTTACTTGAAGCAGCTCAGTACCTCAGGCAATTCTGATGAAGAGAATGTTCTCAGATTTACTTATAAATAAAATTGAAAGAAATAAAGCCAGTTTCAGTTGCTTTAGACGGATATGCTCTGCATCAAAAGCAGATTGCTGTGTTATTGTGCACAGATTTAGTGAATTACAGAATTAACTCTATAGAACTGTTAACAGGTGTTTAACAAGTTTATTCACAGATAAGTACAGTGTGAATACGATAAGTCCAAAGATTCAGCTTTGAGGTAAACCTTTTGTGACAATAAGGAAGGTAACTCTAAGTAAGTCCATGCAAAGACATTACTTCATACTTGCCAAATAAATAACAAAACAAGGGTCAGGTTGTCGAAATTCCCCCCACACAGATCTTTATTTATAAAATATAATAGATAAATCCCATAGTTTTCTTCCACCTAACAATTAGAATAATTTGTGTTAATCTGTGATCTAAAATTTGTGGTTGTAATATGAATAAAGCAAACTTTTAATGGGTAGTAATGCCATTACAAAGCATCACATATGTTTTATTGACAACAGTATTTCCTCTGATTTCCACCTCCAATTGATCCTTGTTACAGGGATACGTTCCTTAGGCTTTTAAGGTAGCTTTAATTAAACCTTTACTTAAGAAACTGTCTCTTGACCCAGATGACTTGGTCAATTATAGACCTATATCTAATCTTCTTTTTGTCAGGAAAAGTTAGTTGCCAAACAAGTGTTATCACTATAATGATTTTTTGAAGAGTTTCAGTCTGGCTTCAGAGCTCATCATAGCACTGAAACAGCTCCGGTGAAAGTCACTAACAATATTCTCATGGCCTTAGATAATGGATTTGTATCTGAACTTGCCTTGTTAGATCTCATTGCTGCATTTCTGTTATTAAAATAATTTAAAATCATCAATTATCAACGTGGCTTATCAACATCCCGCCCCCAGAAAAACAACAAAAGCAAAAATCCACAATAATATACAGGATTTACAAAACACACAGAGCCTATCAACTACAGCAAATGCTCATGCAAAAATGATTCCTATATCAAGACAATGCTATAGATGTATACACAAGATGTATTGCTTCATTCCAAGATTTAGCACCATGACATCTGATGTGAAGTTAGAAACAAGTCATTCTGTGCAAAGGTGAATTGAAATGAGCAGCCTGTCTTGTTGGATAATTTTGAAATTGAAGGTTGTGCACAAATTTTGTATGATAAACGGCAGCCATTCAGCATTAAATAGAGCTCTAAAAACAAAAGTACATGTCAGGGATATATTAACAGCAAAGATATTTTAGAATTGCAATTTTAAGAACAAGGGTGAGCACAGCGTTAAGAAAAACAGTTGATCATAATTTTCTCTCGATAGACTTGAACAAGACAGGAAAAAAGCAGCTGTCAGTAAAATAAATAAAAAATGACAAAAGTAATAATAGATAAAAATGATAAAATGATAAAAATGGAAATCATAATATTTATTTAGTTTGTTTATATATATATAAGGTTTCCTTCCTGTTAAAAGGGAGTTTTCCTCTCAACTGTGACTGTATGTATGCTTGGTGTGAAGGACTGCTGAAGAATCGACAACAAAATACAATCATAAATCATCGCTCCAAGCTCACTGAGGAGGAGGATGTCTTGCAAGTCAGTGGCTGTGTCTGAACGTCCCCACTATATAGGGGTTATTTTATTCTATGAGTGTCCAAATGTCTAGTGGAAATTTTTTTTCTCCCACAATGCACCTTGAATAGTGTACATCGATAGTCAGTAGAAGAGCAGGTATATCCCAGAATGTTTTTTAAGAGCTCTCCTAGCACACCATCATGGGATTTGTTTTGGGGATGAGATAGAACAAAGATGGCGCAGGCATCGAGTGGGGAGCTGCAGTCAAGTGACCAACGGGGAGCAAAAAGTAGTGATCATATGTCCAGATGGTCAGTTTACTGAGTTCATTATAAAGTCCACTATATAGTCCCTGCTCTATAGGGTGATTCAAGTATTAAAGGTTAGGGCGTATGTTTGGACACAGCCAATTACTGGATACAATGAAGTGGTTTTCTTTGTTGGAAAACGTTTTACCCATCAAGCAAAATTTGGTTGGAAAGACGACATGATTTACATCCAAACAATATCTACATTTGGTTGTAAAGTGAAAGGTGAAAAATCGCAATTTTCAGATTGTTGAAAAACATCCTTTACAATGGACTTATTGGACTAAAGTTGGATAAAATAAAACCGCCGTAACACAGCCCAAATTTCAAATAGTGTTTGTAGGCTAAATTAAGACCATGACGGACCGACCAACTTTAGCCCAAAAACCAATGTCTAAATGACGTCTGGTGTTTGGGGGCTACCAATCTGACTATTGTCTCTTTAAAGTTCCTTAAAATTAATTGTGATGTGTATTGGCTCTATACAATTAAACTGAATTGAATTGAATAGAATTTAAAGTATGAAAGATAAATTACATTCAAAATGTGACATTTGCTGCAGGATTAGATTTCCTGTAGTCGAAGCGGAAAAGTGACCAAAGGATTCATACGATAAGGGTTGGTTTGGGATTATGACAAACATTCTACCTCTTGCATTCATCGCCATTCATATCTGCAGATAATTTATATTTTTGGGCTATAATCTTACTTCACCTCTTGCAGAATTTTTTTTAATAACCACCTCTCAAAGCAGCTTCCCATCTCTAAATGATAAGGGGCTGGGTTTCTTATCTCCCAGGCAGATTAAAAGTAAAGCATGTATGAAGAGCAAGGAGCCACTGTGTGCATGGAGAAGCTCTGTACTAGCCTTCAGTTTTCTTCAAAGCTCCTCTATGCCTTAATTATAGGCCGGCCTAATTTTCAGAAGCCTTAACAGAATCAAAGATGTACATGCGGTGCTCCCCTGTGTGTACTTAATCAGTTTTGCTATGTTTTATATAACCAGGGGTAATCCTCCTCTACATCCTCCCTCTGTAGCTCATCTAACATTTATTTTCATAGAAACAAACACTCTGTCTTGTTCGTTGAGCTGTTATTTCGATTCTACAATGACTGTTTTTCCGTTACAAAAGCACTCCCGGAAACGGCCTACCTCTGAGTGACTGCGCTTCAAATTGCTTATGAGATGCTTCTATTTTTAGGCTAATAGAGATGTTAAGTCGCTCTACAGATATGTCATTTCCAGGAGCGAGAGGAAGCTCTCCGACTTATCTATCAGCTCCACATATTACCAAAGAGAGGCAGAAAGGAATTTGATTAGGGTTAACCACCTTGGGCTCACTATTGGATTAGAGTGATTATCTTATCTATGAGTGAGACAAATAGCTTTGCACTTTACCTTCTGATCTGGCACATTCTTCTAAGTTGAAGCAGTGCTGCTCGCTCTCGAGGTGAAGAGGCGACAGTGTCCTTGCTTGTTAAATCTTGATTATCTAATTGCAAGATATCGTTTTGGACACTTTGTAATATCTCTACCTTAATATTGTTTTTCAGGTATAAAGGCTTCATCAAGGACTGTCCCAGCGGACAGCTGGACGCCGTGGGCTTTCAGAAGATATACAAGCAGTTCTTCCCTTTTGGAGACCCCACCAAGTTCGCTTCATTTGTCTTTAATGTATTTGATGAAAATAAGGTTTGTAATGTAATTTTAAGTCACTGCTGATTGAAGTTAGTATTTAAATGACTTGTATGTAGCTATGGAAGCTTCAGCTACTTGTCTCTTTCCTGCTCTTGGTTAAACGTGATTAATGGCCAGGCTTTGATCCAAATCTGATTTAAGTGAACCGTTCCTGGAACATTATTTTGTTTTTCTTATAAGTACAGAGAATGTGTTTTGTTCAGAGTGGTATTCATTCATGTTCCTTTCCTTTCTTAAGGCTGTTTTTCAACGGTATTTAAAGCGTGAAGGGTTTTGAAAAAATGTAACCAGAGTGAATTGTCCAAGGCTGTTACAAATAGAATTTACAGGAAAATGGTTGCAGCCAAAAGCATTGACTGCATAACCCAAGAAAAGAATTTTGTAGCTTAATGTCAATTTTTTTGTTTAGGGTTCCTAAACAGGCTTAAAAAATATAGATTTTGATTTTTTATTTTTTTTTTCATTGGCAATGACTGAACCCCCCCCCTCCCAAAAAAAAACTATAAATGCAGAAAAATAGGAAAAAATATTTCAGTTTCTTCCATGTTTTTAAGTATAAAAATGTATTTCTGCTTAATATATGTAAAAATATTTAAATGATTTATGTTTAAATAACATGCTCTTTTCAGGTATTCATAACATACAGTAAGAATGGGATTTTAACAATTTAGTCCTTAGTATTTTAAGTTTCCACTTACCAAGTGCATGCTTACTCAAAAAGAATTAAACCAAAAATAGACACTTCATGCATAAATTAAGGACAAACTAGATTTGTGCTTCATAACTTACAAGTTAAATTCCTAAAAAGCTGCTGTTCTTCTTGAATTAGGTTAAAATAAGGTATACGTGTTAACAGAAGGCTATAGAAATGGAGTAGAGAAAGTAGAGTTGTGATTAGTGAAACCTAGAAAAAAAGAATACTAAAGAAGCAACAGATGCATTTCCTTTGCTTCTTTTTATGGGCCTACTTTTCATGAATATTTCAACTTACGGAGCCTATCCTGATCTAATGTTGGCCAATTAACAGCAAACTCCACTGTCGCCCTACCCCTTCATCCGACGCCATTTGTAGGGAAAGCATTCTACAACAACGACATGCGGATCATTTTTATTTTTACAGTTCATGAAAAATTACCCCAATTTTTTTTCAGATTACACATTAGAATAATAAATTCTGTGGGGAAAAATGAATTACTTTAGGGTTAGAATTAGGATTCATTCAGTGATAACCTACTGGGCCTCCTGGGAGGTAAAGCCATCCTATGGGACTGATTACTACTAATAATGTCCATTTAATAATAGCCAAAATGGTTGCAAACAACAACTTAGTATTTACTGTGTACTAATGGAAGACAGAATCAAAATGATGAGGAAACTTAGGTTCTATCTATAAGAACAATGTTACAATATATAGAACGTCTACTCTATTCTAAACAGAATACATTGATCCACTTCCATTCAAGAAATAAACAAATTTTCGTTTACAGGCTATGGCAAGCTGTTTATGTATTAGTTTGACTGAATATGTATTCCTGACATATTTTCCTTGTCTAAATGACCATTTCAAACAAAAATACATTATTTACATCTAGAATAATGTCTATAAATCCTTCCGCTGTGTTTGTTGGGGCTGCGTTTTCTTTTCTTTGAACATAGTTTCCATCATATTTGTTATTGCATTTTTGAATTTTTTTCTATTTTAAGAGCAACGTAAGCAGGTTTATCATGACGAGAGAAAGTGGCCATGCTCTGTGACAGTGATTCCTTCTTCCCATTTAGGAAAAGCACTTGTAAATATTTTTTTTTTCTAATTTGATTCAGTCAAATGCTGGACACTGCTTCAGTTTGTGGGACAGTGGGAAAGAAGTAAAAAATGTGTGGGACTGTCTCGCACAAATTGGGACGTGGTCACCCTACGTATTACAGGGTTGGAAAATAACTTCTGATGGCTTCATTTGCTTGAAAATGTCATAATCTATGTCTGATATTACATTAATATACAAAGGTATTGTATGTGAAATTACTGTTATTAATTGCTCTTTTTAAGTATCCTGATAATATTAGGTTTATTTCACTAATTCAGTAATCTTAAATTTGGTTTCAACCTAAATATATTCAAAGGTAATAGATACCTTTTCCATATGAGATCAATCCCAAAGACGAGAAACTAATTCAGTTAAATATCTATTAGCTAAAAGAAAATGACCTTCTTGGCCTGTAATAGTGGGCATGCAGCACCTTTTGTATTTACGTCTTTTCATGTGTTCACCTGTAATTCATAGCCTTGAAGACTGAACAGTTTGAAACCCGAGACTTTATGGACTCCCAAAGCCAGATTTTATTTACTGCAGTGGACCACAGAAGCTCCCATCACCCCCTCCCTCTGTGGTCAAGGAGGCTGAGGAGAGAATGTAAATAAAAGCAGGGCTAAGGGGAGCGTTACATGGCAGGCTACATGCTAACCCACACAAACTGCTTCTGCCCAGTCTCTTACTGGCAAACCAAATAAGCTTAAGTCCTGATGTGGCTGGAGACTTTAATCATGTAGAACTGGAAAAGCTCCTCCCCAAAATCCAAATTTATAAAGTTTCCAACCAGAGAATTCAGTTCGCTGGACGTTTCTTGCAGCATTTTGGGAGCAAACAAGGCTGCTTCAGCTCTTCACTTTGGAGTGTCATATCACATACATCTTGATGGAGCTGATTCCTGCCCACAGACCTCAGATCTGCAGGAAAAAAACACTTAGCAGAATCATTCAGGTCTGGACTGAGGAGGTTTCCTTAGCTTTACAAGATTTATTTTAGCACAAAGACTAGGGAGTGCTTAAAGATTATGCTGATCTGAAAAAAAATCCTCTCTGCTAACCTAAATATTCAGTTCTTCCCTTTGATTATATGAAACTTGTTTTTAGATCACTGATAGTCTGGCCTATAGCAGGGCCCAGCAAGAATTGAAAAAGGGCAAAACAGGTACAGATAGTGCATTGAAGATTGGGTAATAGGCAACATCAGGATATTCAAGATTTCTTCATCAATGATTGTTCCAGCAGGACTGAGGAGGTCACTAAGTTATCTTCACTTTAAAAAAAAGATCAACACTATCAAGACCTCAGGTCCAGAAATGTGTGGATCCTGAAAGCATGTGCTGATCAACTTGTAGTTATTTTTTTTTTTTCTGGACATCTTGGACGTCTACAACACCTCTTAGTCTTGTCCACCTGAAGTGCTCGGTCATTGTGCCTGTGCTCCATAAACAAAAGCATACCTGCCTTAGTGATTACCTGTCACTCTGACCTCAGTCATCATGAGGTGTATAAAGTACATCAAAGACACATCCTTGATGGCCTGGTCAGCCTGCAGGTCATTTATGGGGAGAAGTGTCTTCCTGAAGAGGCTGTTTAATACCGTAATCAGTTCACATGGTCTTGGCCTATGTGCAGCATCCTACCTGGACATATTCCCCCTGACATGCTTTCACCATCGCATGCTGGCATCAGATAGACTACAGTATTAACCCATTTCATAGAAAGGACTTATTCTGCTGCACCCATGAACTACATTTCCTTCACTTACACTCTGTCTTCCATCTATCTGGAGCACAGGGACAGCAGTCTGATCAGAGAGTCCCAGACTTCCCTCTCCCACACGCCTCCCCCAGCCTCTCTGGGGCTGAAGCCCCAGGCTCTACCTTTCAGTCTACATGGTTTTCTCTTAAGGGTGTTTTATTTTTTGTACCACTGTTTCTGATCGTGTCTCTGTGTTACATGCTTCTTATGAGAGTCTGCAGAATATTTCACAAATTGGTTCCATAATGACAGTAGATGTTCTTGATGTTTGGAGACTGGCTGAGTAGAATGTATTTTGGTTTGCTTGGGGCTAGGCTGGATAAAATATACACAACAGAGCACCGACAGGTATTTGGAGTTGAACTGAGTTAGGAGCACAGATACTGATCATTTAGGGGTGTGTGGATTGGTTTGTTATCTGACCCTAGGGGATAGATGCTATTTGACAGTTTGGAATGTCTCTTAAAGTTGTTGCAGATTATATTATCATTACTTCTATCACAATCAACCTGTTGCTTATATTTATGAGTATGATAAAGAATGTTTAAGCAAATCTAAACTATTGTATGTATTGTATTTATTCTAATTGTGTTTACGCCATATAACAATCAAAAAAGGGGGTGTGTGGGGGGTTGCTGGTGTGACCCCTGGAGGATCAGATAAGTGGGTTTGTTTTGGAAAGCTCTCTACGTCAGTCAATTTTATCTCATGTTAGGTACCTCGTAGTTAGAGAATGCGTCGCTCTCCATTTTTATAGCTGATGTCATCAACGGTGGAGGGCTTTAGCATTTTTTAGCTTGGCAGATGTCTAGAAGAGATAAAATTAGCTGACCTCAATGGCCGTCTAAAGCGCCTGGCTGACGAGTGGGACCAGAGGGGTTCACAGGTAGACGGCTGTTGGTGAGGAATGTGGGAAACCCATTAAAGTGTGACAGCAGTCTCTAGTGCTTCTCATCGGAATATGATGAAAGATCAACTCTGAGAACTTCACCATTTGAAGATCAGTCATAATTTCTGCTCAACATGCGTGCAACATGTTTTAACTTTCGATATGTGTGAAATTTCCCTTATACTATTTGCTTTTTGTAAAGGAGAGAATTTAAGATTTCATGACTGATTTGAGCTACTTAATGCCAACAAATATGTTTTTCTTCTACCCTGTTCTCTCTCTGTCGTGGCCCTTACAAAAAAAATAGAGAAATATGCAATATTAGGAGCCTAATTCATAGATTTCACGTGGATGGATTAATTTAAAATAGTATGAAAGCTTAAACATGCAAATCAGACTAGATGGGTTTCTCCCTCTTTCCACTGCAAAAAATTGAAATCTAAATAAGTATTTTTTTTTCTTAAAATATGGTAAGTGCATTTTTTCTTGAATTGAGGAAGTAAGTGAGACACTTTGCCAATGAAACAAGACAATTTACATTTAAAATAACAAAAAATATATATATTATTGTCTTATTACAGGTGCATCTTATCTAATTATCTTATTTTAAGAGTAAAAATACTTATTCCATTGGCAAACCATCTTATTTACCTGCTCAAATTGAGGATAAAAATTTTAATTTTAAGTTTTTTTTTTTCTTTTTTTTTTATTTCTTGGTCGTTTTTGCAGTGTGAATCATAATAAGGAATATTCTAAATAAGTAACATCTTTGACACCAAAAAACAAAGATTATTTTTGTTATGTGTGATTCTTAGGAAATGAACCAGTCGCATCCATCTCACTAATGGCCAGAGGTGACATATTTCAGCCTCAGGAGAGAGCCAGGTGCTGGGCAAAAATAGCAGCTCACTTGGAGCAAATGTCTGGCCCACTTTTCAGCACAGTGCAGAAAGGACACCACGAAGGAACAGAAACAAAGTTAATTAAAGTACAGTTAGACAAAGTGTGATGTAGGATGGTCACTTTATCCACAGATGATTACATTCTGATTCTGTCCCTTTTGTCACCCGCTAGGATGGCCGCATCGAGTTCTCCGAGTTCATCCAGGCCCTGTCAGTGACCTCCAGGGGAACTCTGGATGAGAAGCTTAGATGTAAGAAGACACTCTTCTAAAATTTCTACATTAAAATGACAGGATTTGGCTTTAATTGGGCTGCTTTACCCATTAAGTAGGACAGATGGGTTTAAAACAAAACCAACTATAAAACTTTAGATAGTGTATCCTTCTTCAGCCTTCATCTTTAATGCTTCCAATGAACTAGAAGAGTCATCCATAACCCTGGGACTGTGGGTTTACTGTCTGTGATGTGTCTGTCCCTTCAACGCTCTGATTCAAATCACAGTATTAGCTCCTGCATAGCATTAGTTGCTTTGGAAGTCTGTTAACCACCAATTTATTCGGGGAGAAAACATCAAAAACATGCCTGACCTGAGGACCAGGCTTTACAAATCCTGAACTTGAGCATCTTCAGAAACCAATAAATAAACCTAATGAAGATCACCCTGTAAATCACTTGTTGTATTAAAATAGAAACCATTAAAATAGAAACCATGTCCATCATATTTATCTGGAGGATAACTTTTTGCAAAAGTATTCATACCCCTCAAACATTTTCCCATTCCAGCCTCATACAGTGTTTTGTTCTGTTGGTTTTAATATTAAAACTTAAAACAAAGTAGCATAGAATTTGAAAGTGAAATAAAATATGTTTTTTAATTGCTTTTCAAGTTAAAATAAAAACTGTGGATTGTTTTTGTAATTTTACAAATGTGGAAAATCCTTTGCAAAACAACTAAAGAAAAGTCATTTATATATATATATGGAGAGAGTTTTAAGCGCAGATAGTATGGGAGAATTATCCTGCCATAATGCAAGAGCACATAATTTCAATTTGAGAAAAGAATTTCATCTTCTTCCACTCAAAACTTATAATGCTCACACTCAAAACATGCGCTCTCTCTCAAATATTTTTCTTCTCTCTCAAATCTTTGTTTCTTCTCTCAGATTTAATGCTTCTTGCACAGATATTTTCTCCTCTCGCTTGCCTCCTTCTCTTCGCGCACAAACCGCGCTCTGCTCGAGTCTCAGATCTCAGTTCTTTGCTTTTGTACATAACAAACCACTAATTGTTTAAAATTACTTACTTCAGAATTGTTTGGCTTATCCATAAGTACTGAATTTTCTGAATCAAGCCACAAAACTACTATAAATCGCAGTTTCAGCTGACGCTCTTATAAATGGCGTAGTAGCACAGGCACACTCAGTAGGGTTAAACAAGCGCACCCTTTCTGAGGCTGTCGTTCTATTGGCTGGAAAAGTTGCTAGGCGACGATCCAACTGCAGTCGGAGAGAGAGCAAAAAAAAATCCGCAAGCAGAGCCTACGGGTTTGCGAGCGTATCTGAGACTCGAGCAGAGCGCGGTTTGTGCGCGAAGAGAAGGAGGCAAGCGAGAGGAGAAAATATCTGTGCAAGAAGCATTAAATCTGAGAGAAGAAACAAAGATTTGAGAGAGAAGAAAAATATTTGAGAGAGAGCGCATGTTTTGAGTGTGAGCATTATAAGTTTTGAGTGCAAGAAGATGAAATTCTTTTCTCAAATTGAAATTATGTGCTCTTGCATTATGGCAGGATAATTCTCCCATAAGATAGAAGTCTAACTGGATTCTAACTTCTAACTTTGGTTCTGCGGCACAATTATGCACTAATTTGTAATAGTGTGTTGCATAAAAACAAAACCAATAAATTGAGGTTTATGTTAAAATAGTGACAGATTTCTCAAGTTCCCAAGTTTTAATGCTTGAATATTATTGTTTTTTCTCACAGGGGCCTTTAAATTGTACGATCTGGACAATGACGGCTACATAACTCGGGATGAAATGTTGAACATTGTAGATGCCATTTATCAGATGGTGGTAAGTATGGAGCCTGGTCTCCCCTCTGGTCCTGATTAGTCAGAGTGATCTGAAGGGTAATTATGTGGTGTCTATCTTAGGGAAACACTGTGGAGCTGCCAGAGGACGAAAACACTCCAGAAAAGAGAGTAGACCGCATTTTTGCAATGATGGACAAGGTTGGTATATATTATCACACTTGAAGCTACAGCCCTTCATACGACCATCAAACTTTATGTAATGTGCAGCAATAATTATTAGTTTAGCATTAATTCAGCTAAGTCTGCCTTTGTTGCTAACATCACAGCTTTGATGCAGGCACTGTTGAGCTCAGAGCTGGTAGTTGTAGCCAACACAGTATCGCTGACACTGCCTGCAGTCTATAAACATCATTTACAGTCACCTTCAGCGCTCAGTGCTAGGAATCTCTCAGCTGTAGTGAAAGATGAGATGCAGCTCACTCCCGCCAGCATTAGCCAACAGGGCTACTGGTGCAACCTTTAGTCATTTCTATTGGGAGAGTGGTCTCTAACAAGGTTCCCTGAACTTAGGATCACTTTATCAGCATACAACAATAGCAGTGCAGTGAACCTGGTCTCATTTGATTGCTTTGCTGCATTTACACATTAGACCAGGCATCCCCAAAGTCTGTCCGCGAGGCCCGCTGTCCTGCAGGTTTTAGAGGTTTTCCTACTCCAGCACAGCTGATTTTAATTGAAAGCTGATTAACAGACTTTTGCTTAACTGCAATCATCATAATCAGCTGTGCTAAAGCAGGGAAACCTCTAAATCCTGCAGGACAGCGGCCCTCGAGGACCGACTTTGGGGATGCCTGCATTAGACCATTAAAACTTCAATGTGAGATTCAGATTTTACTTTGATTCGTTTGGATAAACCAGCACAAAGTAATGGACTGTTAATACCAAAAGCAAATGGAGTACAGTGTGATCATATATTCAGTTTACTAAGAAAAATCCTTCATTATCAGGAGTAGTACAGCTGTTCTTTCTTCAAAGGTTAGAGGAAAAACGATCACAGCTGTCAGACCAGATATAAAGGTAGAAAGTAAAACCAGGGTGAGGTAATGTTAAAATAAGGGAGATCGTTTCAGAACTAGAAACTTTTAAAATATTGTGAGCTACCCAAACTAACAGGACAGATAACAAGAGCTCTAAATTAAAATCAGTTCAATTAAACAAACTCCGATTAACAACATACGCCATCACAGGGTAGTTTACATAGAAAGTTCAGTAAAACCTTAGGTGTAACCTTTAATTGGTGCACAGTCTTTCATCTAAATAAACTGGCCGACGGCATCGAATCATAAACTTTGCGGAATTTCCTCCTTTTGGATGAGCAGATAAAGACAGTTCACATTTGCTTACACATTGAGTAATTTCCATAACCATTTAATCGAGCAAATTGTAATTCCGAAAAATACATTTGTTCAATGAAAACACTGGAATCTCAAAAAAAAGTTTTTTACGCATCAATGAGGCTTTTTTTCTTTTCTTTTTTGGCCGTATAGAAATTATTTTTCACAAAACTGCAATGAAAACACTTTTTTCGCATTTCACGAGTCACATGATCTGTAACTGGACTTAACTGCCTTCTAGGGCTACAACTAATCGGATAGCCAAAGGTTCTTTAAAGAAGATTTTTTTATGAACTTAAGTGGAAAACTTAAATAAAAGTTTTCCACTTGAGGACCTCTGCATAGAGCATATTGACAGACGGAATTTTTTTTTATCTTAAATGCAAAATGTTTATATATATATATATTTTTTTACAATTACTTCTCTAAATGGATTGCTCTGTCAGTAAAGGCATGTGTTAGTCTCTATACTCCAGTTAACGATTAATCGATTACTAAATTAGTTGACGATTATTTCAATAATTGATTAATCACGATTAATCCGATTAGTTGTTTCAGCCCTAGTGCCTCGTAAAAAGTCAAAGAGGAAGAGGGAAAGTAGTTGGATGATGGCGCCCTCTTGAGCCATGGCAGAATTATGGATAAATCTCATAACACAGAAAAATGCCATGTTGTTTTCAGAGGTATTGCATAAACAAACGTATTCACGTCCAATTTTAATTGTATTTGCTATATCATGAAAATACTGCAACTTTGAAACTTGCATTTTCAAAATTATCAGAATATTGACATGGTTTTGCTCCCATTTGTAAAGCAAATGCAACGATTTACTGCAGCAATCCTTCACACTGAGCATGCATGCAGCGACAGTGGAAAGAAAAAAAACTCCCTTTTAACAGGAGGAAACCTCCAGTAATTAATAAGGCATTAATTTAAAAAAACAGACCAAAGGCCCAGAGAGGAGCTCCTTAGATCCACAGCTGACATCACATAATATTGGACGCTTTAAGGGCTTTGATTTCACACCTCACTGATGTTTTTAAGTTGATAATTTCAAGGGTTCTGGTTTAATTATGTTTCCTGTTGCAGAATGCAGATGGGAAGCTTACTCTCCAGGAGTTTCAGGAAGGTTCAAAGGCAGACCCTTCTATTGTCCAGGCACTGTCCCTCTATGATGGACTCGTGTAGGAATGGATGGCGAGTGAAGGAAGATGAGCTGGAACGCTCCTCTGCCCCTCGATCCCAGGTCATTCCTTTAAATCTGTTAACGCAGTAGAACTCCTATTCCATCCGAGCCGACCGTGGAAAACAGAAGAAAAGAGTGGAAGCCGCTGTCGGCTCACAGTTTGTTCTCATGAATTATTCAAATGGCCCACTTGTTTACTGGCAGTGTAATATTGTTGCAGTAGCGAATAAAGATGGAAACAGCCCTCACATCTCACTGCCTAATGTAATGCACTGGCTGCTGCCAATTGTGGCTGACATCCTGCTCGGTGTTTTGTCAAGTGTGAAGCGAGCTTGTGAAGACATATGCATTCTGTGTAAAAGCTCTGTTTGGTTGCTATCTAGCTAGCACCAAACACATCCAGGTGTTATGACCCTGCTCTGGTGATCCGTCTCTTAACTCTTCAGATGGGTCCAATTAACGCCCTCCTGCTTTTTGCACGCCGACGCCTGCCCATCACATCCTAATCACCCAAAACAAGGACTACAAACTTTTACTGCACAGGCATGCAGCCACTGCGTCCTCTTGTTTGTGCTCCATAAAGATAGCAAACATAAATTTCCTCTGATGTAATGGAGAATGCTAAGTTGCTCAGCCAACCCCAGTCATCAATCAGTGCTTCTACAGCTGCGCAGCACACCAGCGTCGTAGACTGCGTTCCAACTTCTCTGGGAGCGAAGTGCTGGATAATCCGAGGAACGGGATCCCTCAGTGATGCTTGAGTTCTTACATCCATCATCAGAACAGCTCAGAAGGACCATCCTGCTGCTGCTTCATCCACACTCAGAGAGACTCTACATCTCACGCCGGAAAAATGTGTTAGACAACACTGAATTAAAACTACGAAGCAGTAAAATGTGCTGCATATTATAATGTAAATATAATGGTAATTTATTTTCTGCTTTGCTGCATTTATGAGACTTTCCTCATAAATATAGAATGATTTTTATTTTTGTTTTTATCAAAGGTGTTGAAATGTGTTGCACTGTATTTTTCATTACCGTGGTGGGAGCATTCTTTTTCTCTCATTCAGAGGTTCGTTTTTCCTGAGAGAAGAGGAATGTTTAAGAAGCACAGAGTTTTCTAAGGGTGATTTTTATTGCGTTTGCTGTCTGTGCACCCTGTTGTGTTTTAATTTCCCTGTTAGCATGAGTGTATACTATTGACCCTGTTGCACAACTACATCCTGAATGACACGGCCTGAACAACAGAGAGCATTCCCACAGCTTTACATCAGAATTGATGCCGGGCGTTTCTTTTTGAGAGCGCCGCACTCCACCCTTGGCAACACAAAGCCCGGGTCACCAAGAGGCGCAAACAAGACATCAGCTTTGGTTGTAAAGCTTTAGTGAGGGCTGTTTTTTGTCCTGTGAAAAGCCAGAGCATGTGATAATTCTTTTTTTTAACATGTAGATTATTTATTTTAGAACATTTCAGTGTTTTTCAACCTCACTAATAGTTTTTTGCATTAAGCAAATTATGATTTACTAGATTATCTGTTCATCAGTGTAAGAGCACAGAATAAAATGCATTTAAGTGATATTTATATTTCTGATTTTAGGTTTGAATGGATATAAAGCAGTGTTTCCTTTTTCTATAGCAGTATTTGGGATTAATTTAAGGGGCTTTTTGTATTGTAACTGTTCAAATGTTTTTTTTTTAGAATTTCAAATACCTGGATTATATTCCTATTTGGAGAATATTATTGAAGTTTGCACAGATCGCATTAAGGCAGAAATGGGATGTGTTCTGGGTTCAGTGTTGCACTGTGCAACATTACATGTAATGAAAAGTGTCATGTTAAGCTTTATTGCCTGTTATTGCCTTGCAACATAGAATTTAACATGCCATCTTACTCTGTAGTGTAAGCCTGCGCTGTATGGCCGTGAAATGAACAATGAAGTGTATAAAACTGTGGCATGTTGCAGCAATGGATGAATTACTGAGACCTGTCAGCTTTTGAGTTTCTTCTGCCGCATTTCTGATCAAAGACAGATGAGATCCCAGAGGAGTGAAAAATCCAGATTTTTAACTGTTCTGTCATTTTAACCCCATCCTCCCAGTTTTTTTAGCATGTGATACTAAAAAGTGCAGTAAAACACAAGTGTGTTTGAAAAAAACCCCGCAAGCCTTGTGATTAAAAACTGAACTGATTTAAAAACGAAATATTTTGTGGGAAAACATCCAGCTATGTATGTTCTGTCATGATTTTATCAAGAGCTCGGACACACGCAGATAAAACAATCCAGAGGGACAAGGGGAAAAGTTTAACAGGTTTATTGAGAAGTTTTGTGGAGATTTCAGTGTTGCTCTGAACACTGCTCAACCGGAACTGAAAGGTGAGGGGAAGACACTGCGTTTAGTTCAGGTTCAGTGGGAAAATTGGTTCTCGAACTTGAAAGGAGGAAAGGTAGGCAGACTCACGTTTCCAGAGAATTGGTTGACTCTTAGACTCCAGTAGGTGAGGAATGTGTTCCGGTGTTTGTCTCATACGGTGGAGGGCAGACAGGGTTACCCAGAATGCGGTTGCTTGTAGATGAACGGAGAAGTCTGACTGCCACTCAGATTTTCTGCGGTACTTGAACGGACTGCGGTGCAGATGAATCCCTTGCTCAGTGTGAAACTCAAACGATTCCTCAGGGGAAAGTGGATCCAAAACTCCGGTTTGTATCCCCAGCTCAGTTTGAAGCTCAGTAGATCCTTCCAGGGAGAGAAGGTCCGAAAATCCAGTTTGCAGGATGACTTCCTACCGAGAGGAAAAAACAAAAAATAACAACGTTAAGACTCAGGTTGACAAAAACTCAGTTTGACTCAGCACAACTCAGCTTGGCTAGAGTACCCAAAACTGGCAAACACTCTGGCATCGAGGTAGTGGCAGTCAGCAGCTTAAGAGCACTCCGTTAATGAGGTAACCCCTTGCAGGTGTGTGAGGAGGAGAATCAGAACCAGGCGTCGCCTGGTGGAGGAAGGAAGACAAACACACAAAAACACAGACCACACAGACTGGAGTCCTAACATGTTCTTGCTCCGGTGAAAGTTCTTGTCTTATAGGCAGTGTGGGTCCGTGACCAGGGGGGCTCATCTAGTGTGGGTAACCATCAACTCTTTAGGGAAATTTTTATCTATTACTCCTTGTGCAAGTAAGTCTCCTTTAGCTTTTTGCATTCCCAAGTCTGCAATGTGCTTTGAAGACAAATTACAAACAAAGTGATATAAGATGGCTGTAGATTAGACATTCATGTTGGTATTTTAATCCTAAGTTTCTGACTCTGCTAAACCTAACAGTTATTTGTGTACATTTCTCAGGTAAGTATTTGATCCACTATGGTTCAAGATCTAAAATGTTTATCCCCCTCTTTGTTCTAATTAGCTTTGGAAGATATTCTGGTATCTGAAGTTAATACTCCAACTTTGCAATCCTAAGCATTTAACTCTAAGCATAAACAAGAGGATGCTTAGATAGACTACCCTGCCACTCATTTTGTTTTGGGTGTACTTGGGTGAATGATGCAGCTCTCCTATGCCTAGTACATCCCAGATTTTCTCTTTTGCTGAAAAGTCAAGACTACAGTGTCTCCTTATTTTTCAGTGGTAACCTATGATGTCACTTCATAACATGTTATTCAAAGGCTTCTCTCACCTCAGGTTGTTTGTGGCATATTTGACTTTGTGGCTAATAGTTATCTGACCCCTTATAGACACAAATGAGTTCAAAAATACAAGTCACTAGATCCTTTTTATATGCAAAACAACATCAATAATAATGACATTATTAAATTACATTAATATCAATACATATGCATATCAGGACAGGAGCTCATCAGAAATTACACACACACACATATATATATATATATATATATATATATATATATATATATATATATATATATATATATATATATG